CCTGAGGGTCTGGCATCTCCAGATGTCCTGTCTTGGCGAGATGCCATATCACGTGATCTTCGCCCCGCGTTGATCATTACCTTCTGACGTGGACGTCCCTAGGCCTTCAGCCATCTCGTCATTTGTCAAGGAGAGAATCTTTCTTGTTACTTGTAACAAATAAGCTACTAAAGTAAAAGATTACTAAGGAGAGGGTAGAGAAGAGAGTGAAGACGAGAAAGAGACGGTAGAGGGAGATAGCTAAGAGAGCTGCTAATGCCGCCGTAAAGAGGGCTGAAAACTAGCGTAAAAAAGAGGAGAAAGACTATTAAAAAGCTATCTAAACTTCCTAAAAAGGTAAATATAAAGCTTTAAGAGCTCTATCTAAGCCTTAGAAGCGCTAGAAGGTTAGTAGTAGTAGTATAATTAGTGGTGTAGCGTCTAGTATAGCCGTACGGGCTGCATCGCTAGAACCACGGCGCACCACGTCACGTAGCCGCACTATCACTCTTCTATTAAAATTTAGATAGTATAAATTATTTATAAGGGTCTATTTAGTAATCTACTAAGATATTACGTATATATAGCTTTGTAGTGTAGCTTAATAACTTCATATACCGGCTGATTGCTATAGTATTGGGGTGTGCGCCAGCTGAACATGTGCGCCAGGTGCACGGACACGGTAGCTAAGTGGGCCAAATCAGTTAGCGGGCCACCCCACCAAACTTGACAGGACTTTCTACGCAATTAATCCACAACAACGTGATAAAATAAAATATAATTAAGAAAAACAATTCACTCTCTAACTTTGCATAGAATGCGAGTGTGTCCTTGAGCATGGCACTTCGTGCACGTCGGCGGCGCGCACTGACGTCGCTCGCCAGCCTGGCTCTGGCTAGCCATCCATGACCACCCTTTCTGCCTCTGCAGCAAGCTGCTGAACCTGCTGCATCTAGAGCATTCCACTAGAAGCAATATGCTAGCGCTGCTAACTCTATTTTTAATGTTGGCGCTAATTCTCTTTACGTAGCTTCTTATTTTCTTCTATAAGTGTTATTGCTAATTATATTGTAAGCTGAGCGCTTTTTGTAAGCCGGCGTAATGTAATACTTGTTGAGCTCTCTGGCTGCCTGCGTAATCGCTCGTGAACATAGCGCACCTGCTGCTGAAACTGTTCTATTGTGTGTGTGGCATTTCTAGCTGTGCCGCTGGCTGGGCTGCAATGTTATCGTCTATAGTTGTATATGGTGGAGACGGCGTCCGGACAACAGTTAACGACGACAGAACACGATCTAGATAAGGAGGGATAAGGCCTGTCGCCCAAAAGCCCGCCTGGATATTTACTGCGTGAGTATAGTCGGCTAGATCCGTATATAGGCTATGAGGAAGTCTATTTTGTTAATATAGTAGACGCCTTGGCGGGCGAGCTTCTCAATCTTACGCCCGTACGCGCGCTTAAGAGGAGAGTAGTAGCTTATGTCTAGAGGCTAGAGGAGATAGATGGTGTGAGCTAGTATATAGAAAGTGATAACCACGCTACGCTAGAGTTCGACTAGTTCTATATAGAGAACAAGACTATTATGTCCGTCTAGAATAAGAAGCTAATAGACTCTAGCTATACGAGCCGCTATATACTAGTTGAAGTGCTTTATTCACTCTATACTAAGCTCGTCTGTCGTCTAGCTATTATCTAAGACACTAATAGTCTAGTTAAGTGGGAGATTGTAGTACTAGCTACTCTAGTAGACTTTACTAGACAGGATTATAAATAGTGATTGAGACTGTTACAAGCAACAAGAAGGATCCTCACCTTGACGAGGAATGACAAGGTTAAGAGCCAACCACGTCCAGGTCAGAAGGTAACGAGCATTGCGGGGCTTGGAGTCACGTGATGTGCCATCTCGCCAAGGCTGGCCATCTCGCCAAGGAGAGATGGACGAGATGGTAGGACTAGAAGGCAATGGGTATAAGAATGGGTTGGATTTCATTATTACACTCGTTATGGTTAACTCTTATAAGTTCTTCTCTTACACATATTGATACTTAGTTATTCTATTGTTATAGAATTGATTGTTACTCTATACTTTAGTTACAACTCCGATAACTCTTCTCCATTACGAATCGCCAGAAAACAATCGCACGGAATACTTTATACAAAGTCTCGCCCTAACCCGGACCGAGACTAGGTGAGTATAGCGAAACCCCGTGTAACAGAGACCAGCTAGACGCGTTGACGTACTCGATAGCTGTTACCTACTCGTGATTGCCTAGATATACGACAACTGCCTAACCAATTCTATTAGAGCTATTTATAACTTTTAACGTTACAGCGACGTCTATTATAAACCTAGTGTCAGATTGTGAAGGGTTATCAAGGATAGTAAATTGATGGGTAAAGATGATTGTATTGATCTTGTTCTGCTCTGCTTGGAGGCGCGCGCGGGCGCGCCTCCTTAAGGAGGTCTGTTTGCTTATTCTAATCTCAGCCATCTCGTGTTCCAGCTTGAGCCGGGATCAGTCTTGGCTGCTGATCTGATTGGCTGTACTCCAGATCCCAGTGCTCCATTTGACCTTCTGGATGTCGCGGTTTTGCTACTGGTATCTGACACCTAGTCTCGTTAAAGTTATAGATATTATAGTCTAAGACGCCATATATCTAGCGTGTCTCCTCTCCTAGCTTAAACTATACTATTATCACGCTAGGATCCTTATAGCATGCGCGCTAGCTATTAATTTTTCTAATCTACTTTATTTAAAGCTCTAGCTAGCTCCAGATAAAGCGCGATACTTATTTTTTGCTAATAGGTTATAGAGGTAGATTGTTACAAGTAACAGGTAAAAGGATCTCCTCCCCTGCGCACCACGAGTGGTTGGAGGAAACCACTCGGGATCGCGTCAGAAGTGATGATCCCCGCGGGGCGAGGATCACGTGATTAGCATCCCGCCAAGACTGGGCCTCCGAGAGGCCAGTGGGGCGAGGGAGGACAGGACCAAGCAACAATGGGTATAAGAATGTGTTGAATTTCATCATTACACTCGTTGTGGTCAACTCAAATTGTACTTTCTTATAAGCTACTTTACTTAACAAGATTGATACTTTGTTATTCTATCTAGTATAGAATTGATTGTCTTTGTTATCGGTTAAACATCCATAACTCTTTTCCACCAGAATTACTCGGCAATCTCACGGACGACTGCTGACAAGCTGTCTTACCCTAACCCGGACTAAGGACTAGCAGAGAAGTATTAGCTGACCCCGTGTAACATAGATCTTGGCCATGCGCGGCAAGTAACGTATCTGCCATTCGCCGTACGTTAATAATATAAGGTAGAAAAACTATGTCAATCAAGGTCTAAGATCTACTATAAAAGAGAATGCTCTTTAATAGACGATAGCTTATGGTTGATAGAGGGTATCTCTAATCGTAGCTAGATATTATAGAGACGTCGCTAGAGTGTTGACTTTAGCATATTATATACTTTTGCTAGAGCGTGGAGAGATTGTTTTGGATTATTATAATAAGACGCAATAGTAAGACTTATCCTACCTTTACAAGAAGTCTGTATAGAACGTTGTTGTCGCGGCATGGTAGTAGTTGTGTAGAGTGCCGCATCAAGTTTGGTGGGGTGGCCCACTAACTGATCTGGCCCACTTACTGATCCAATACGTTAATGTGTTCGTGCGCGTGACGCCCGGATTCACGTAACGCCCCGCACAACACCAAAATTCGTGCTTAACACTAACTCGAACGCGCCATAACTCTATCAATATGGATCCGATTCAAGCCGCGATTGAAGAAATCGAATTGTGCAAACCAGAAGAGCACTTCCCATATACATATATTGCTGCAAAATACGATACTGATCGCTCAACACTAAGCTGATGAGACTAGGGGCTACAGGACATCAAGGCAGGGCTGCTGAAACATAAATGTTTGTCTTCGTATGGGTGGCTGGATTTAGGTCTGAATCTTTGGAGGTAAAAACAAGGCCATGCTTCGAGATGTCGAAATGATCATTGCCTCCAAATAGTTCGATTGGGCTCTCCAAGGAGGCGTCCTTCAGTGCGTCCTTCATTGTGTGTTCCAACTCCAGCACATCGAAGCTGGCAGTCTTCTTCGGACTTAACTTGCCAAGCCATATGTAATTACGGTTCTCAGTCACATAGTGGTTCCAGTGACGAACGAAGCCATATTTGTATAGCTTTCCTGATATATGTGATTCTTCGACCTTCTCTGTGTTCCCCTCAACTCAAGATCGGGCCCCAACGCGGGCTTGAGTTTGTGAGATATATCACTAAACTTACCAAGCAAGGCCTGATTCCCAAAAGGGAGGTGATCAAGAATCTCTCATCAGAAGTCGCCCGTCAGCAGCTCAGGGAGAGCTGGGTCACCCGCTTCATGAACCGACATGAGATCCATCTCATCCCAAATGGAACCACTGTCATGGATTGCACGCCCCACCTGGCTGATTCTGAGTCAAAATACCGTCTCTACTTCGAGCTACTGAATCGAAAGATTACTGAATATCACCTTGAGGCTCAAGATATATACAAAATGTATAAGAAAGGCTTCTTCATTGGTTGAATAGGCAAAGGCAAGAGGATATTCAGCAGGCATTAATAGGGAAAGGAAGAGGTTAGAGAGTCTCTCCGGGATGGGTCATGCGAGTTTCTGAGAGTCTTAGCCTGCTGCTGCGCCGATGAATCATCGTTGCCGCCCAGCCTTATCTACGCAGCTGCTCAAGGAGCCATACGATCGAGCTGGGTAGAGGATATTGAGGTTGAAAGCACGAGTTGTTTGTTAAATCATCGTCAACAGGCTGCTCAAATGATGACAAATGCCTAACTTGACTTGAGCAGGTGTTTGATTGTTGTACAAAGCTGCGGTCATGTAGTTAGATGGAAATTGCTCCTCCTTGATGGCCATGGATCTCATGTCACGATGGAGTTTATCAAGTACTGCGATCGCCATAGGATTCTCCTCATGATCCTTCCTCCCCATTCAACTCATAAACTCCAGCCGCTCGATGTAGTGCTGTTCAAGCCACTCTCTAAAGCCTACTCCAACGAGCCCACTAAATATCTACATAAGGCTCATAGCCTTGTTCTTAAAAAGAGAGAGTACTCCTTCCCATTGTCCTGGAGAGCTTAGCAGGCCTCGTGCAAGTAATCGACTATATCGAAAGCGTTTGAAGCCGCTAGTATATGGCTAAAGGATCCTAAAGTCGTCCTTAAGAGATTCATGAGTATGCCAGAAGTTGAGCGGAGCTCGTTATTAAAGCTCTTTGAAAGTGACTGGAAAAAGCTCGATCGGTTAGTCTGAGTTGCTATTAATGATAACCATTAGTAAGAGGTAAGAAAGCTGCGTTCAAGCGTTCACTATCTCTCAGTCAAAGAGTATGAGTACGATTGGGTGAGTCCTACTCGATACTTCAGGCGCACGCCTATGTATGAAATTGAGACGGGACTCAAGAAAACGCTCGTTAGAGGAGAATGAGGCTGATGTAACGGCCGGTCTGACAACTACACATTGTCACCAGGCACAGCTCCGCAACATGGCAAACAAGTACATGAGTATCGCACGAAAGCTGCCGTCGTCTCAACGAGATGGGCGAGCATAGGCTTTCTCAGAGTAGCCCGTAATGTCTAGATCGTTCACTGTCGGTAAATCTTCGTCATCACTATCGTTGTCATCCCGGCCCATTAATCTCCCGTCGTCGAAATCCGGCGCATCATCCGTGAGGATAAGCTGTTTCTTTCTCCCCCACCACCCCGATGAACGCGCCACCTCCACCTTCTGCAACTCAAGCGCAAATATGTTACTTTTGGCAGTCTTCGCCTTGAACACGCTCGCAAAAGTGTGCGCCGTACCAGCCCCAGCACTGACATTACCGAGACCGAGATTGGGGGGCAAGGGTGCAGCCGTGACAGCCATAGCAATCTTTGCGATTGGTATCTCCACGCCGCCGTCTGTCTCGCGCTTCGACGCGCCTGAGAAATCGAGCTCGACGTCCTCGGCGATCATGATGCCGACGACAAGGCAAGGTGGCCTGCCTTTGGCATCTTTGACCCATATAGGTACGGTGTCAATGACTGCCTTGTCCGCCTTCAGTTTGTCCCAGAACTGACTGTGCTGCTGCAGTCGCTTGTACGTGATGCTCTTGCCAGCCAATTTTACGCTCTCCGTGGTTTCGCCCTCGAAGTTGAGATGTGCGATGGATGAGAGTTTTGCAGTGGCATGACTCGTGTCCGTGCCCTTGTTCTCGAGGACGAAGTCGGTCAAATGCTCGGTGGGCTCGACAAGGTCGAAAGCGTTATACTGCAGAGGATCGGAGGGGACGAAGTCGTTGGTGGGTCGGAGGGGTTGGCGAATGATTGGGCCGAGAATCTGGGACTCGTATTTGGAAGTGTCGAGCCAGGCTGAGTGTTTGAGAATGACGAAGGAGGGATCGCCTTTCATTTTGAGGATGTAAGTTGTGCGAGACTGCTGAGATTCTTGTAGATGAGGTTGCTGAGCAGACTGGCATGGGACGCCGCCGATATCGTGTTAAATATATCACATCTTTCAGCTTCAGAGCAGGTAGGCTGCAACATCAAGCTGGAGGCTATGCTAGACTGCACATGTGAATCCATTGGTCGATGTTCGCGTTGTGGCTGTGGGCTTCAGCTCGTGGAGTCGCGCCACGCAAACAGTCCAGGCTTATCGTCTCTTATCGTAATTCCGGGACAGTCACCTACGATCCTGCGGACAACGAACGACGCAGCGGGCGCGGAGATCTCACTGAGTGTACCGGATTGAAGCTAGTGTTCCGATCTTAGTCCTTAATTTCCCGCTGGTCCCAAGTTGTTTATGTGTTGTGCTTCATGGTTCTAACTCCGGAGCGATGCAGCGTGGCCCTGTCGCCTTCGCTTCGGCCTGCGACCCCATAGGCCTATGACGTGGCGGGCTATGCTTTGGACCTTAGGGCGGGCCATAACGCTCAAGCATGTATACCTGTACATTTTTGTTGAGTGCGCCGGTCAGCAGCTGAAGATCCGTCCGTGGATTACCGTATACGAAAAACTAAGAGACATTGATAGTGATCAGACGAGAGAGAACAAGAATGCTTGGCCGATCCGCCGTTCGTTGTGTATCTATTTTAGATGTTAAGGCTGCCAAGTCACACTATAACTCTTATTCTAGTTACTAGTAACGTTTGAGACGGACGAACTGCTCAGATGGGTGAACTGCTCACGGTACCAAGTGTTATGAGCGGAAAGGCCTGACTAACGAATTTGCATTCACCTATCGTACAAAAGAAGATGAGGGATGAAGACTATGGAGCTACGTACGCACGCGTCTCTTATACACCCTTTTCTTACTTACTCTTTTCGTACGTAAGGTTTGGTCGTAGCTCTGCTTTTTCATGTGATGCCTTTCAGGGCTGTACGTGTTCTTGAGTCACGTGACCTATGCTCACTGGACTTACGTCACGTGATATTCTGTTGTTGTCCATGGCGTGGCCCTTTACACCAAGAGCTTACCAACTTTCACTATTACTTGACTATTAACGTGTCTGTATAGCGATTCGGTCAGAAGATCGAAGTGATCACTCTGCCAAGACCCCACCAACTTTGACTACTAGCTATACGTGATGCCTCCACGCAACAACGTGCAAAATTCTTTGAGAGAATTTTAATTAGTGAACTATAAGATGCGAATGCGAATAGACGAAGCGCAGACGAAGCGCGGAACAAGCCCCAGGATCAAGGTCTTTATCTTGAAATTATCTGCGCCTCAGCAGTGGTTGACCTTGTTGTGGTGGTAAGCATTGCTGGCATGCCGCTGTGTGCGGAGTTTTCCGCCACACACGGAGGGACGATAGCACCCGCTTCTAATCCGAACTGATTTTTGGGTGGCCTAGAAGACTTTGCCAAAGAGCGCCATACAGCCACACAACCACACAGCCACAAGTCCAGCGTTAGTCGCGATAGGTTACCACTAAGCTACTTTAAGCTCGGTGTGCGGAGCGTATTCATCTGGCGTATCTAGCAGGCAGACTTAGAATTGCCACAGAAGCACGACAACCTCTCAAGCTCGAACGCAGTGGTTGGAACAGTATGATGATATGACAGGCAGTGATCTAGTAGACTTAGACAAGATGTATAAGCTTCTGTCGCAGACTACACAAGGATACAGTGGCGTCTATTACAGCCGTAAGATGTCGATACACGAGATGTGACAAACCCCTGCCATGGTAACTTACAAAACACATAACTGGTAGTTAGAAACTTGCAAAAGAATACATCGAATTTGAACCACACCTTTCCGCACTCACGCATGCGACAGTTATTTACCTTTTAGTGGTTATATAGTAGATGATACGGCAGCGTGGTAAAATGGTAGCATCATAATGTAGTTCTGTAAGGTTTTTATAGTTTTTTTCGACTTTGTCTTCTCGCTGGAGGCTTGCCATTGCCTTTGTGCTCTTTATCAAAAAAGTGTCATCGGCAGTCAGCAGCGTCTTCGCAATGATAGGGTCTAGTTACGCTATCTATTCGTGGCACCCACTGACCAACGACAGCAGAGCAGCCTCGAGTTCGGAATTTTGGACAATGCTCTCTAGTGCGGTGCTAAGAACAGGCAACTCAGTGCTAGTATGGCGAAGGGACGTTGGCAATTCTTCTGCAAGGGAATAGAACTCTTTGATGCGAAAGACGACTTTGGTGCTGGAATCAGTGAGCTTAACTATACTGTGCTTACGAAGTAGTATGTGGTAGTTAGGCGTGCGGTATCGGATATCACGTGTTTTATTGAAAGCGGACGCTCAAAAAGATGCACAGGGCATCTTGCGATAGCAAGGTGACGTCACAAGCCATTTGACCGCAAAAGTGGGCCTACTATAGCACAAGGTCAATCGGTGTTGATAATTAAACACTGCGATGCTGCTTTAAGATAATAAGCGCCACGGATATACTAACGTACCCAACGTACATGGGTATGAAACACGAGCCAATATTATAAGGCCAACATACCTAAAAACGGAAACCCGCCCTCAAGTTACTGTGACTGAAAGCAGGAAGATTAACAGATACCGGTAACCCAGAACGGGAAATTTAACGGATGTATTGGCAGACAGCACAGTTACATAGTGGTCAGTATTTCCGCTTGTCAAGCAATTGACAGCTCGCGGGAGACCGGGGTTCAATTCCCCGCTGGAGAGCTCTTATCTTTTTTTGTTAGAATGTAGAAAGATTTGTTGTCACGAACTGCACGCGTCTTTAGCTAAGAAGAGAATTTTGCTTTTTTTGTTCAACTACCTATTTTAGGAAGAGAAAACCTTTTATAAGCGATCACATATTAACATAGAACTCTCCGTTAGCTACAGTAGGTAGGCACGAACTAAAGATGCACGGCGAAGGTAAAGATTAAATACATAATATACGGTCATACTAATAATAGTCATTGCCTTTATTATAGATATAACCCTTGACATAATCTTCTCAGCCCTTAATTAACGCTCTAGGTACTCTAATATTCTTAGACGATTTCGCATTTGGTATGCGTACGACTATCGGTACCTTACCACTCAAATGACGAGGCAGGAGACTGAAATGGTACTGGACTATAGGCTCAAAAGTTGTAATACTCATGCCTTCGGTTTTAGGGACTGACGCTATCTGCAATTTAGGTTGCAGGACATTTACAGGTTTGCAAGTCACTCTTCTGTTTCGAGCTCAAATGTGGTGATTTGTGGAAAGACTGACTAGGTTATGTGACCGAGCTTTTACTAGACGCCTAAGAGGTATGCATAAATCGATTTCAAGTCAAATCCATTCTAATCAGCCTGGAGTAGCTTTTGTCGATTTAAGAGATAAGACGTTTTTTTTCTACACATTTTGCTTGGGATTAAAATAGATGGAGCTCAGTGCGCACATTGCGACTTATACCCTCTAACTCCTAAGGAGCGTTGTTTGCCATTAGTTCAGCATCTTCACGTTGACCCAGTTCCCCATATCCATGATTCGACCACAATTCATGTGCATGGGCACGTAACTGATGCATTTCCCCCTTCGCCAGATATATGTCTAGCGTTCTTTCGTCTGAAGAACTGCCGTCTCCTCCACTAGAATTTCTCGACCTAGATATCATCCATACTATTCCTGCTGCCAGGATCATAAAAACTGCTATACCCACTCCAATACCAGCTTTTGCGACTACACTAAGACCACCTAATGAGACGTTCCCCTCGAGGACAGAAGACGGGGTAGGAGTCAAGGTTGACAATGTTATGGCTGAGGAACTGGGCGTTACTGATAGAAAGGGCGTTACTGAGGGCGTTGCTAAGGGAATAGTCGATATCGGGCCCACAGTTGCTGCGAGTTCGAAGATGTTGCTCTCATCATTACAACAAGTTTTCTCCCCACAGCACCAATTTTCTCCTCCACAGTTATGGACGCCTACACTACCCCACTTGTCGACGTACTATATTGTCTTAGCGATATCCTAACGTAAAGTATTTAGGGGTATACCTCTAGCTTGTTGCATACGTCTCTAAGACAGTAGAGACTGTTCCATAGCGGGTCTGTACAACCCTGTCTTGACCAAACTTGCTCACCCTCATTATTCCCATCAAACACCGCATAGTTCTGATAAAGACCATTTTCCATACACACATCATCTATAATGCCAATATCTCTAGCGCCGCTTTAGTTCGTTATGCAGCATACGGAATATTTTGTCGTGTTATTGCATAGTTAAAAGGCCGCATTAAGGAGGGTAGTGCCGTTACGGCTGTAACAGTAGCCGGCTGCACTAGTAATCTAGGATATAACTAGGAGATAGAAAGCCATCATGAAATGTAAGAACGTTCAGCGGGGATTGAAGACTACCTATACTAAAGTGTGGATTGAACTAAGCGGGCGAGGATGAAAGCGGCGTGTTCGCGGAGTATCTTCCTGGTTGGAAGTGTGCCTCAGCCTTGGACCTGGTGACTTGCTGAGAATCCTTCGCTAGCCGAGGTTGCGAAACCTGTGTATATAGTAGCAAGCTAGTGTGGCCAAGCTATTGTTGTTTCATATACGCGCGGACTATAGCAAATCATGTCTTTAGATGCTCGTGGAATCCATTGGGAATAGAACATAAGCGCCAGCTCTACTGCTTCTCTAGAGCGCGCTTAGCTGCCGTCAGACAGGTGGCAACGGAAGCTGCAGAACCCGAGAGTGGATCGGAACACCAGGATTCTGTATACACCCAATCAGAACCTTTTCGTCAAGGCTACCCCACCCCCCAAAAGTCTACATTGGAGCAACATAGACATCAGAGAGTAAAATGTGATGACGTATCCCAAGGGGTTAACCGCGCACACGGGTTGGCCGCGCGCTAGCTGTCCCCTGCTGATCTTCTAGTGAACCTAATACTTCTGCACAAGCTGCATAAACTCGAAAATGTATCCCGAAAGGTGGATATACCTAAGACGATTGCTAAGACACCTTGATATAACGTACACCAGCATGTAGACGTAGTCCTTGGCCCCATCTGAGCCAATTGAACAACACCGGGTAAATCCATTACCCCACCCCAAGAGCCTTTTTCGTATTTCAGGGGAATGTCGCATGCATAGTAGAGTCAGTGCTCTGTCAGATGCTGGATCCTGGCGCTAAGGTGGCCAACACGAAAGCAGAGTTGCCGTGGGCAGCTACTAACTAGTGTGGCGCTGCCGAGCGGGTAACTGTGGCGGCCCTTGCACTGTCCTTAGATGAGAGGGCCAAATGCAGCCGCATCGTTGCCTACTCATATCAGCGTGTCTGCTATGGCGCAATGCCAAAAGCCAAAAAGGACAAGTGATCAGAACAAATAAGCGTACAGTATCGTAGTGTACAAGCTAGCTAGCTAGCTAGGTGAGTGGACTATGATACATCAAACTGGCGCCAAGGCGCTATACCCAGACGGGTAAGGGCCAAGGCTGCCATAACACAGAGTATGATTCAACGTGACTTATATCCATTTCATTTACCAAGTCAGTGCACAAAGCTTCTGGCGATTTACCTGAATTTGGTCTGGCTTCTGTCGTATCATTGTCTGTTGTTCGCTTGCGTCTGACTCAGCATCCGGTTCTAACCCAGTCGGTAGTGCCAGAAGGGCAATATCTTCCATGTGTCAGGAAAAATGGTTCAGGACAGTGCTTTTCCTATTTCCTGATGTGTCCTGACAAAGAGGACATTTAAATGCTTTCTAGGTGGGTCCGAAATTGTGTTCTAGTTCTAGATGATTTATCCATACCTGACGGCTTGGGAATGGATTCGTATTGAACCGGCATTCATAATAGAAGCAACTGTTAGGTTGTAAATCGGTATCGGGGTGCTTTCGATTCGTAGTAAGTGCTATACTAGTAAGCCATCAAGTCCTATCTTACCTCCATTTACGATTGTTCGTTGCCTGCACTAGCTTTCCACACGCAGTGCACTCGAAAGGAAGACCGTTCTTTCCTTCCACTAGTATTGGTAGAATCCAGACTCGCTCGCCACCTGATATACTGGTCATGAATGAAACGGTCGACTCTGCATAGGACGGTTATGTTTTCACTAGCGAAGAAAAGTTAGACCCGCTTAACGATACGGCACACCCCATTAAATAAATGGGAGACTTTAGACGATCGCGGACTAGGAAAATCCTATAAATGGAAGGCAACAGTTATTGACTAACATCCCTCTATATATGGCGAAAGGCACTGCGCTGTGAAGGACAGTATGTACTCCCAGCTATAATAAAGCCGGTGTCATCTAGGAAACATCCATAACTACGCTTAGAATAAACTCTCTTTATCTTAACCTCTACCTAGACTACTGCCCAGTCAGCCGCAGTAAGCCCATTGGTCGTCATCCAGCTAGGTACGTCTAGTAGTATATTGCCTCTACTTAAGGCGTACGCCCGATCGCGGTTGTAGTTCTCGATATGAGCACTGGCGTGGGAGTCGATAGCCTCCTTTAGTTCTATTGGCCGAACAAAGGTGTCGTAGTAGCTGTTCTAGTGGGTGATAATAGGCCTCCCTAGCTAGAGGTTTCTATTGCGAGCGAGATGTGGGAGGCTATAGACCTAACGCTGCGCTTCTTAAAAACGATCGTATTGCTGTGGTGTGCGAATATAATTAATAATATCTACTAGCACACTTAGGGGCCCATCTAAACGCCACTCGCGTAGATACTAAGTCTCTTCTGCGTACGCGTCGCTACCATTATTGCAGGCGTCCACATCAAAGCCTTATATAACTGTCTGGCCAACAAGATTGAGTGTATGAGGAGCACAGCAGAGGCGACGGTGTAGGGCGTTAAATTCGAACTCGCGGGAGAGGCAGTGGATAGCTCAATCGTTAGCAAAAGCGTTATCAAGTGTAAAGTAGCCAAGCTGGGCACCGCTTATATTAAACGTCGAGAGAGTCGTGGCTACGACTTCTCCAATCCGATCACCAGTATGGGCGCCCGCGAGCTGTGGGAGGGCAATCGGGAGATCCCTGATCGTGCCAGAGGCGTCAGAAAAATGAGCTACAACTCCAAAGAAGCCTCGCTTACCACCTCTAGCAGTCCATCCGTCAAAGCTGATATGTATTCTGCTAGTCGCTTGTGATAGCGACGTAGTAACTAGTGGCTACAGGCAGTGATACAGGCGTAGGACGTACGCTAATACACTTTGGTGACTTACCCATAGGGCTGCTGCTGCCTCTAGGTTTACGTATGCGATCATCTGTTTGAAAGCTAGTGTTTCAAACTTACGAAGCGGGTGGTTATTCTCAATAATCCAACGGACTGCAGCGTATCTAAAGGCCTATACGTCGGAGTTGCCAATCGTATTAGCTATACTTTGCTGAATGACGAGGCCTTACTGATTGATAAACTGTAGAGACCTTTGGCCCGCTGGTAGAACAAGCCCAGCCTTCTTGCCAGCACGATCAAAGCTGTGCCCAGGGCGATTCAGCTAAAGGTAGGTAATCGCCGCTAAGGTTAATTTTGTCACCTCTAGGATATATTTGATCCCTACCGCGTTGTGTTGATAGCAATATCAACAGACTCAGAAGGTACGGCTTAAGTCTCTAAGAGACGCGACGCGATAGCCGTGCTAAAAGACCCAGCTCTTCTTATGTTTAAGCGTACGTAGAGGCTTCCCATACGCTAACAGAGTATCCTAGTTAATGCCTTCAAAGTCATCTGCGAAATAGCTATCTAGATTAGTGGCTAGCTCGTCTAGTAGAGGATCCGCCGTAGAAGCCGTCGCCGCGTCAGTATCGTCAGTAGACGCGACAATAGTGGCATTTAGTACCATAGACGGCGGAGAGGGCTCAACGAGAGTAGTATCAGTAGCCTGGCTTGCGGCTGCAGCTAGGGCTTCATATAGTGACGCGTAAAATCTAATCTAGCTTAGGGTCGCGTCGATATTAATGGGCTGCGAGGCAGTCCCTCAGCTTGTCTGAAGACGTTTTGCAGGCACAGAACCGCCACGGCTTACGCGTCTCTGGTGAGGGCGAGCGTGTGGGAGTAACATTTTAGACAAAATAATCTATATTGCTTCTTTGGTGGTGTTAATACTATTGTTTAGAGAGTTGAGATCAAAACAACAGTCAGCACAGACCAGATAACTACTACAACACCAAAAAGTCTATCCCGAGTTACCTGTTATGGACGCTATACTATTGAAAAGACCAATTAAATTAATCAATCGAAAGGTTCAGATTGATCTTGATTGATAGCATATCCACTCTATATTTGATTTGATTGATTTGGACGAACCAATCAAGAATCAAGCAAGAGAATCAAGAACTTGATTGTTAGCAAGTCTGCATGTGACTATACATGGTACTTCTAGGCTTACATCTTATAACGTGGACGTCCATAGGTTCTCAGTTTTCACATCCCTTGTTAAGGAGAGAATCTTTCTTGTTACTTATACAAGTTAGAGAGTGTATGTGCGGTGTTAAAGCCATAATGCGTTTCAATGCACACAGTGTGTGTCCTCGCCTACTCGGGTCCACACTTGACCTAGATCGATCGCTACGCACCAAGCATGCTGCCTGATGACCAGTTGGCTGTGATACAAGATTCTCATACAAAGCCTTCATCTTTGCCTTTTTTTTTACATAACAAGCACGTTTGACAATTGGGGCAGACATACGGTCCACCGTTCGCCAGATCTCCGAGCCCATATATTTTCCAAGCTCTGTATCGCTATAGGAATATTGCGAAATCGCGTACGTGCATACACCTGTTCCATGCGATGTACGAAGAAGTCTCTCTGGCTCTGATCTGTCGAAGCTGCTCCAGCAATAAAGCACACCCAGACCAGTGCATGTGCGCCACGATCATTTGGTGAGATTTGCGATATGACGCCAATGAGTTGGTGGATAGACTCTTCCTGGATAGTGTTGTGAAATCTTGAGACTGCATCTGCACCGGCTGCACATCGGGTGTATATATTGCATGCAGAGACGAAGCACTGTCGTATCAGGTCTACAATGCGCCGGTCTTCGCTGTCTTCGGGGAGATGAAAAAAGGACAAGAAGCTCATCAGAGACTCTGAGGCCTTCATCATGGTGAGCACGCCGACCTCTTCGCGGAGTAGCGGCACGCCGAGCAGCTCGAACCTGATGCTCGTTAGTATGGCTGTGCAAATATCCTCCAACATTACCTACATATGGGTTTGTGTTTGTAAGAAATTTGAAATGATGGGATCAGCATCTCTGCCTGGGTTACTCATGGACAAGCTGAGCAACATCTGAACGAAGAAGTGATAGTCAGCACTTCCAGTCACTGTCTCGCCCACAAGAAGCACAACCAAAGTTGCCCAGGTGAACTTGTTGAACACCTTGTCGGCAGACTGCTGCAAGGAATCGTTGCGTAAGCGTGAAATGACAGCAGCGCGTCCAGCCTCAGCTGCTCCTTGAAGTTCAGGCCGCTGATGACTGAGATGTTGTGCAGCCACAACACCCACTGCCCGGCGCAGCAAATCGTCTTCGAGCGCCATTGGCAGGACTAATGATCTGTAACCATTTGTGTCATCATCGAACACCACCATAGCTGGGGCAACGACATCGGAGACTGTAAGATCGTGAGTAAATGGTCAAATTATGGCCGACTCTAGATTGTAACTTACAGTATGAGAAGAGCATCCGCAACTTTGGGTCAATTGGCGCAACCCAAGGCGCAACTTCGTATGGTTGGGAGTAACGAACCACAATCGAATTGTAGCCTCGACCGATGTCTTCCACATCGGCCTCGGAATCCGCATTCGTGTTTGGAGGGGCCAACAACAAAGAATCTTTCCTACCATGTTGCATTTCTGTTGAATTGATTGTGTGAGGGGTCGGTGGTTCTTGCGCAGTCTCGTCCAGATCACTCTTCCTCTTCTTCCTAGCGCGTTCCTTACCCGGCCAGCGCAATGATTGAAACTCAATAGTGGTCGGTAGCTCCTTGCAGCTATCATCGCCTCCAGTCTTTGGAATTTTGCAGTCCTTAAGACGTCCTCTTCTGGCTACTCCTCCAGCAAATCGAATCCTGCCGATCCCAGAGCATTCGATGCCCTTCTTCGCGCATTTGCGACATGATGGTTCGGTCTTGTCACAGACGATCCTGCGGCACGAGCATTGGAAGCAGCCCCGCTCTTTCTTCACATTACCATCTGGAGGCATGCTGATGCTCGTGCACCGAATCTGATGAGCCTGGCGAAACTTGGAGGACCACGATCAACGGGGCCAAGTTGCATGCAACTAGCGTTCACGACGCAGGCCCGGGCTACCTCAATAGTCAAGTATAATCTCGATCTTGGTATCCATGAAGTTGCGATAAAATTTGCGGAGGATTATTGCAACTTGTACTGTACGATCGTGCTCTATCGCGGAGTGGAGGCAACCCGGTTGTGTGCTGCTTGCGTTCGGGCCGAATTTGGAAAGGGCGTTTGCTTGGCGTCTCGCCCTTTCCAAATTCGGCCGCTGAACTGACGAAGTTCTCGCAATATAGCGTAGGTATGCAACGCAAGACGGCGTGCTGACAATCTCAATCACAGCGACACGCTCCCTCGTCCAAGCATGTACCACAAAGCAATTCACATGGACGGAGAACACAAAATGTGGTGACGTCACAACCAGAGTCGATCGCACTGAACGCTCACATACACTACGTAAACGAGAACGTCTATCTACTCCATCAGGACTTGTAAGCGCGGGCCATGGAAGTGCTTGCGCACATGTCCGAACCAATTTGCGACTGTGAAGATAGCCATCACGCCGATGACTGCCGACGCGTAATCTGGGAGAAGTCAGTCACAGCCACACCAGATCAGTATTGGGGCGCCACTTATGCTCGTACCCGTCACCGGTATGACTATTGGGAAGTCGTAGAAGACCAAGACCAGGATTGCGAAGCCCACCGTAATCAAGTTCGCCGCCCAGCCCAAGGCCGCTGGTACCTTGAAAGAGCGTGTACTCGGCAGCCACTTTGGTGAGCGCTTGTGCATCATGAGCAACACGGCCGGGAACGCGCATGTCACGTGCTGCAAGATCAAACCAGTGCCAATGAAGGCATTGAAAGCAGATGTCGATCCCAAGTAGATGCAGCCAATGATGAACATGATCGCAAAGTTGAAGATCAAGGCAGCGGTGGGTACCTGCTGCTTCTCGTTGATCTTACCGAGCCAGCGGCTACCAAAGATAGCGTCGTCCCGTGCGAAAGACCAAGTCAGCCGAGACGCTGTTTGGTGGGTTGCATTGAAAGCAAAAAAGGTTGCGAGCAGGAGAAGGAACAGGAAAACGGTCGCAGCAACATCTGACCGAGTTGCCTGACGCCAGATTTCGTAAACGGGTACACTAAACGAACATGTCAGCATGGAAGGTGATAGCCACCGAAGGGAGAGACATACCCAGTTGCCGTCGTGGCCACAGCTTCCAGATCGCTGGTGCAATACATCATGATGATGGCGAAGATGAAGGATGTGGCGAAGCCAATGGATACCGTGCTCATCAACGCTCTAGGCACGACCTTTTCTGGGTTCTTGCACTCCTCTGCCAGATGTACCGCACCATCAATACCGGCATACATATAGTTTGGCGAAACGAGACCAGTGAGAAAGGCGACGCCGCTGGACCAGCCACTCTCGTTAAGGAAAGTCGCCCACACAGACTTGGTGGGCTGAAAATGCGGTCCGGTCCGCGCGAGGCAAGTGATAACGATTACAAAGAAACTACTAATCAACACGAAGACTATACTTTTATCCCGTTAGTATTATTATTATTATTATCCCATTATAGTCTATGTAGCTTGAGGCCATGTAAGACTTTGGCCAGAGGCCGTTCTATGGGATTTATTTACACTAAGGGAGTTTCAATAGTGGTAGTGTGGCTATGGTGCTTTGGCCTTTTATCTAGTTAAGCTATTACTAGCTTTCTAGATGCCTGTTGCTAAAGAGCAGTTTAGTAATAGAAAGAGATGTTAGACAGCAGAGTAATCCTCCAGTGGGCTCTTTTGGAGGAGAAAGAAAAATGTTTAGCTATTCAGTTTTAATGACTAACTCTCTCGTTTTAGTATGTTGCCGCAGCGAGCAAAGGCTGTCTTTAGCGTTTAGATAGAGTGCTATTGTAGTAGGCAAGGCCTACCTTAGCGTTTAGGTATGTATGCTAGAATAGTAGGAAAAGAACTATTCTAGCGTTTGGTATGGTGCCTAGCGAGCGAGGGCTTTTAGCGTTTAGAAATTTTACTACTACAGTCGCTACTTACTGTAGTAGTGTTTCGAGATAGTGCCTAGCGAGCGAGGGTTTAGCGTTTAGAATTGGTGCTAGCAAGCGAGGGCTTTGGCGTTTGAAATTTGTGCTTCTACAGTGTAACTAACCACTGTATTAGCGTTTAGAATTGGTGCCATACTAGGCAAAGACTGTCTCGGCGTTTAGATATGGTGCCTAGCGAGCAACGGCTATCTTGGCGTTTAAGTAGTTTTTGTTTTCGTATGGTAGTCTCTCTATTAGTTATTACCGTCCGTGCTCACCCAATGCAACAGTTCAGCCAATGCAACACCCCACCAAAATTCGAGCCCACGAAAAAATAAAGCTTTTAACTACTACTTAAACGTTATTATTATAGAATTTCTTAGTAGAGTACCTATAAGATTATATATTTAATATCTATTTATTAAAATTTACTAAGTAACTATATATTATAGCTATAGGTAGTAGTTTTAGTAGAAAGCTTAGTAGCTAGTAATATATTACTACTACTACTTTTAATCTCTATAATATAACGCTACTTTAGTTTTTTTATATTCTAAATTAATAAAGCTTTTTATTTAGTTATACTTTACTTAATATACAGAGGGGTGACATGAAAAAAGAGTGTTCCTAAAAGTTCTAGTTTTTAAACTAGTATAACTAGCTGAATATTAAATCTATTTCCAATTAGGCTAGCTCATTTTAAAGGCAAGAGGTAGTAGTTTA